ACTCCTGTTTTGAATGCTGTAGGTCATCAGTTCTGATGACATATATATATATATATATATGTATATATATATATAGCATGTGTGTATCATAGTATTTTATTAACTAAACAAACTACAACTTTATAAAAAAGAGTTGTGGAGGTGGGGAAGGAAGGGATGGTAGGAGAAAACAAAGGAGGATGCAACATGTTCAATAGGAAATGTACACATTACCTTGATCATGTAACTAAACCCCTCTGTATAGCATTTTTACAATAAAAAATGTACAAAAAATTAGCCATCACAAACAAGTCTTGGTGATACTTCTTTGTGGCCTCTCTGAATGGACAATATCTCTAATTTTCCTGTTGCTGCTTTTTATTCACTTTCAAATAAAATTGCTTCATATGTTTTAAACAGTTGCTTGCCTAAAAAGCAAACAAACAAAAAGACAAAGGAAAAAAAACCAGAAAAACAAAACAACAATAAACCCTGGCTCATATGGTAGAATGTCAGCTGAGCCTAGCAGAAGGAGATCCCTGGGAGTAAATCTCAGTACCACACCCAATCCCTTCACCACACATAGAAAGAAAAAGAATGAAAAAAAGGAAGAAAGAACAAAAGAAAAAGAGAAAGAGAAGGAAAGAAAGAAAGGAAGGAAGGAAGGAAGGAAGGAAGGAAGGAAGGAAAGTAATTATAAAGCTAAGTTCAAATTCCCACAAAATTATACTGTGGGTTTTATGGCTTGTTTGTATGGTGTTAGCTGATATCTATACTATGCCAGGATAAATAGTCATTTAGGATGAAAAGTAGAATGAAAACTTTATATAAATCAGAATGTAAGAAAGTAATTGTTTCTCCACATTTCCAATCTACATAATTTTTCAGCATATCTTGTGATTTTTATCCATCAGCTAGTTACATTCAGTATATGTACAGACTCAGCTGGCACAGTTCTGATTTTGAAAAACCAGTGTGCTAGGGTGAATATGGAGTGGGAACAATAGGCTTAGAAGATCTTTCTCAAACTGCAAAAGCAGGAATGAAAATGGACCAGATATGGATGTGATTTGAGAAGAAAAAAATGTGTATGATGACATTAAACTTATTGGCTTCATAGACTAAAAAGGACCCACACTACTGTAAATTCTATGAATTTTATGTAGTTGAATAATGACAAAAATCTTAGATTGTCTGAAAAGATTAGTAGTATAATCTCTTCTACCAGTGTCCTGAAATTTAAATGTAAAACACAGTGTTATTTTCTACAATAGTTTTAAGCATTGTAATAACTTTCAACATTATTGGGTCTGCTTGTGGCTTTAAAAAAGGCTATGTTATTCACTTGACATTGAATATGAATTTTAACTATTTCTAGGTTAATTTCCTCTTCTTCAGGAGATTTTCAACAATTTGTAGATGAACCTTGTAGACTAGATAAAACAATTTCTCTAAAGCTAGTTATATACAATGAATGTATAAAACACATATAAAGGATACACTAATTTATAATTTAACATCACAAAATATGCCAAACTCTACAATAAGTTCCAGTTTAGTATATGTACAGAGAAATACTGCACATGGTATCATCTGCTGTCATGTCTAATGTGAAAAACTATATACTCAATGTGAAGTACATCAAGGTATGTTCAGTAAAAAATGACAGCACGAGATAGTCTCTTCTGGTTGTTGCATAATATTTTCACCAAACATAATTCATACACTAATAAACGTTTGTATTAAGATATTTCAGTGGTGGGCGAGTAGCATTTAAGATGAGCAGGAGCTAAAAGCTACATAGTGTTGATTCAAAAGCTGGAGTTGAGATCAACTCCAAAAATGCACTGTGAGGCTCTGTTAAAATCATTATCTGAGGTAAAGTGACAGGTCACGAGTTGCTGCAGCTGCCCTGGTCGCCCCAGTGAGCCACTGTCACCTTTGTCATAACTCAAGCCCTAAGGCCAAGCCCAGAAGCTGTGTGTGTCCCTAATCCTGCCAACACAAACCTCTAACTTCAGCCAGCAGCCTAGGAGCTCTGACTTCAGGATTTTACATTGGTAGCAGTTGCTAATGGAGCCCAAACAAAACAAAGAAAGAAAGAAATCATCTAATAAAGGTTAGAAGAGTGTAATGATTTTATGTAACAAATAGCTACGGTTTCTTTATAGGAATGATATCCAGGAAAATGTAGGCGCACAGCAAGTACATTAATTGTTATTAAGCAAGGAAGAGAGTTTGGTGTTGCTGAATAGAATGGAGTGAAGAGGCAGAAACTGTTAGAGGCCCTTGTGAAGTTTCAACTTGAGGCAGGAAACAAGTAGTGTACCTTTCTTGAGGCTCTTCACATTGTAAGAATTTCACTCCACAGTTTGGAATTGACCCTAACTTTGACATAAGAATAGGAGTGTGATAAAAATATAAAGCATCCAAAGAAATTGCAAATGCCATCCTCCACAAAGCTCCTGTGTCTGGGTCTTGCATTACTAAACAGGTGAGTTTCTGGGTCTGAATCATAGTATTCTAACAACACTAGGCAGAGAGAGAGGTGGAGAGTGCTGCTTAAAAGCTGCAATTGTTTCAGATAAACCAGTGAGAGAATGTATGTACATATGTGAAAGGGAAGATGTACCCAGGTTACAGATGACTCCAGGAGATTTTCTCACCAAACACAGCCAGAGAACACAGTGGTGAAGGAGGCAAGGAAAACCAATGAGTTGTGAACAGAATTTAGCAGCTTCCTCAATGGTTCAACCATGAACTCTTCAATTAATGATACGAATTCTTAAAAATCTAAACCATGGGATGGAAAAGATATGATAGCATTTGGTCCACCAGCTTAAAACTGTCCACTTCCCAGGCAAAAGAAGAAGGGTGGTAAGTAAATATGGCATGAGTATCTCTACCTACTGTCAATCGTCCAGTAAGAAGAAATGAAAATAAAATGGCTGACGAAAGAACCAGTCAGAAGATTGAGGCTGCAGTTTAAAACCCTTGTTTTTTGGGGTTTTTTTTGTTGTTGTTTTGTTTTTACCTATCAACCAGGTTTCTAGAACTATGTATGATTTATTTGCTTGCAATATGATTTTAATTTTTTTTTAATTGGGGCTCATATTCTAGGCCTGCGTGTTGCCCCTGAGCTTCTTTTGCTAAAGGCCAGTGCTCTGCTAAGTAACCATAGGTCCACTTCTGTTTTTGTTGTTCTTTTTTGTTTGTTTATTTTTATTTCTGTTTTACTAGTTTATTGGACCTAAGCGTCTCATGGACATGCCTGACTAGGTTGCATTCAAGCCAAGATCCTCAGATCCCAGCTTCCTGAGTAGCTAGGATTACAGGCATGAGCCACTAGAGTAGGGCTTGATTTATTTCTACTGAGTTAATCTAATAATGCCTATTTGGAGTATATATTGTTTTAAAAATAAGCTTAATCTCAATAAATTTTTAAAACTGGTTTTCAATTGTTTTAAATATGGCTAAGCTGTGATTTTTAAAAACTCCATATTTGGTTTGTAAGACAAGTTTATAACTTGAATTTTGTTAAATCAGAAAGCACCTTGCCTATCAAAAAAACTACAAACAGATGTTAATAAATGTGTTACCTGATATAGAAAATGTTGTGTTGTCTTTCAGATGCCTAGGGTTGGATTCTATTTCCATGTTGTGTATGAACTGATGCAACTTTATTTTTTCAAAAATATGATCTTTCTAGGTAGACTCTGATTTCTTTTCTCAAGGAAAGAGCTAATACTCATTCCATCCACCTAGTCTCCTCAGTAAGTCTCCTGAACACAGCTTAGGTTGGGTCAGGGGTTGGTATCATGGGGAATGAGATTCAACTCTGTAAATTCTAGAGGCACAGGCATTAACTTCTTGGTAATTTAAGACTGACTGGTGGTATACTAGACACCAAAGCAATGACAAGCGGTGGAGCATGGGACTTACACAGACACAATTTGAGTAGAGGCTACTTCATAGTTCTGTTCATTGATTTGCTGAGATGTCTGTCATTCTCTAAGATCATGGATTGGGATCCATGATGGATGATCTATGGATAGAAGAGACTTAAAAATTATGTGATCTTGGGCTGGGAAGGTGGCTCAGTGGTAGAGTGCTTGCCTTGCATGCATGAGGCCCTGGGTTCGATTCCTCAGCACCACATAAGCAAAAAGAAAAAAAGCCAGAAGTGGCGCTGTGGCTCAAGTGGTAGAGTGCTAGCCTTGAGCTGAAGAGCTGAGGGACAGCACCCAGGCCCAGAGTTCAGGCTCCATGACTGGACCAAAAAAAAAAAAAAAATTATGTGATCTTTTAAAGAGAAGAGACCATATGAAGTTATTTAAATTTAATATTTAATACCACCTATGAACTTAGTATTTTTAGAATACTGGAAATAGGGAACAAAATCAGCAGAGAGGTACAATTTTAATTATTTAGACAGGAAGTAAGATATTCCCTTTCACCACACTCCTGTCTCATTCCTTTAACTCATCTACCACATAGCTGTGGGAAGTCGGCAAAAATAGATATTAACTATCCAAAAAAATAATAGAAATGTCCTGATTTCAAGATAACAGCTCAGAGAGAAAAGAAAAGATGTGCCAGTACAGGCCACATTGCACCTCATTGCTAATACAGTGTCAGCTTAAATTAGGGAAAAGGACTTTAGTTCACAGAATGGAAATAAAACAACCAGCATAATGGTTTTGGGGTTCTTTTCTCCTGTAAATAATGAGATCCTTCTCTCCCTCTACATTTATACACTGTAGTTTAGTTCTTTGAAATCTACAACAATAGATTCATAATATAAGTATTTTGGAAAGTCATTTTTAGGTAGAGGTTAACAAATACATGCTTTCACTTGCTTTTGTAACGAAAAGTCTCATCGGAATAAAATGACATGGCCCTTCAGCAAACTGCAATTATGCCCAGCCATATTTTCCTTGGATTTGCACAGAGTAGTAATTGGCTATCCTCAAATACTCTGAACTCATCCAATGTGATGAGGATAAGAAAGTATTTATTCAATGTTGTATGAAACGAAAGAAAGTTAGTACTTCTTGTGATAAGGAGAAAAAGAGGGAAAAGGCCCTGGGCCTGAACATCATGCATATAATATGGAAGTATTTATTCAGTCAGTAATTATCTAATTCTCTTTCACTTTTCTACGTACTTTTTGAACACAATAATCAATTTGGAAGAGACTGAAAAATAAAGGTTAATTTGTGTTCTACTTGAAATACAGCTCCAAATCTCACAAGAATTTCCAAAAGCAAATGAAATGTGCCTTGAATAGCTCTTATAGAAAAAGAATATGAATGAAGGAAAAAGTGGTTCATAAGGATAACCAGACAAAATGCACTGGAATACATTTGTTTATAGATGATGGGCAGAAGCCACATTGTTTTCCATTTTAGGATCTTTTGCTACAGATTGCAGTGTGCTGGCTAGGCATACTATCCTGTGCCGCTTCTGATGGAAATAATCCCAGCCTTAAGGGTCTACAGCTTGAGCACTCAGAACTACTGAAGTAACTATTACAAACATATGCAGCTTAGCAGGCTGACTAGTGGGAAAAAAAACAAAATAACAAAAAAAAGCTGGCACTGAACTCAGTGAAGTTCCTGCATCAGCACTGCCATCAACAGATGATCTGATCCATGCTGGTGACCTAAAGAATGCACTTTAGTAAGCTTCCACAGAACCCTCCATCTTTTAATCACACATGTTTACTTTTAAGTGAGGGCATATAATTACATACTAGCATTATTTATATGAAGATATATAGACATATAATAGTCTAAGCATATATATTAGAGATTCTTAAAAATCTGATGCAGTAAATATACCAACAGCTAAATGTGAGTATAAATGAAAGTTTTATCTTTAAGGACTTAATCATTTTTTCTTTCACATCTTCTGGTGCAACAATATCCTACTTAAGTTGTTTGAAGTGATTTATGTACCTTATTGTCTCAGACTCTGAAACTTTCTTTTGAGAGGACAAGAATATGGTTGTAGGCTGGTCACAGTGGTTTAAGGCTATAATATCATTTATGCAAAACTAAATGATCAAAAGAATCACAGATCAAAGTCTTCCCAGGAAAATAACAATGAGGGGAATGAAGTTCCTGGTTCTGTAGCATGTATAGTCCCAGGTATGTGGAAAACACAGCTAGAAGGATAGAGAGTGAGATGGACAGACAGAGATATAGAGAGAGAGAGAACAGAGAGACACATATAGACAGAGACAGAGAGTTGTGTCTCTGTAGTTCCATAGCACAGTATTTTACATAGCATCAGGAAGGCTAGTTAAATTGTCAACTAATATATAATGGTAATCACCACATTTTCCATGTTCTTACATGACTGTGATAACTTATAAACATCCTTTGGAACCTTCAAACATGAGTCTAAAGACACATACTAAAAAGCAGATAGAGGTTAAAATTATCAACTCCATTTCGAAAATTATTTAACTGTAGAACTTGTTTAAAAAATGAGACAATGAGGGGCTGGGAAGATGGCTCAGTGGTAGACCGCTTGCCTTGCATGCATGAGGCCCTGGGTTCGATTCCTCAGCACCACATAAGCAGAAAAAAAAAAGCTGGTAGTGGCGCTGTGGCTCAAGTGGTAGAGTGCTAGCCTTGAGCTGAAGAGCTGAGGGACAGCACCCAGGCCCAGAGTTCAGGTCCACGATTGGACCCCCCAAAAAAATAAATAAATAAATAAAAAAGGAGACAATAATAGTCTTAGAGTTTGTTAAACTCTGTAGTAAACAAACAGCAACTTTCACTCTTGCAGAGTTCATTTCCAGATTTCATCTCTAAAAGCCCCAGGTAAGCAACCACAGGAAGTGGCCTGTGAACATGTTGCAAATAGCAGATGATAAAGCAGAAGGAATCCTTTCCTACAAGCAGGCTGGCTTCCTGAAGACCTAGTTACGAAATGGCTGAGCCACAAAACTAGTATTTTCCCTAATAGACACTGAGTATGATTCTGAATAGTGAAATTCAATATGATAGTTGATACTTTCCTATTAGCTTTCTCAAACTTTTTCCCCCTGCAAAAAACTTTAGGGAAGAAAAAAAAAAACCTGAGACTTTCCAATCTTAGTTGTGTGACTGAATGAGGACAGGCACCATACCAGTCTCAGCCACCATAAATCACACTTAGGGAAGCCTTTGTTCACTGGACTTTCATCACAGATGTTGGCATTCTCCTGGTTATCTCGCCTGGAGCAGGATCAGATTTGCAGAAGCAAGCCTTTCTGTGAGTCTTTCCTTCTACTGACAGAACAAGGGCTGTATTCAGGTTTAGAGCTCTTCAAATTGATACTACAGGGATAGGTGTTTCGCTAACAAAAGCAAGGCACTAAGCCATTGTGAATTCTTCATGTTGGGATTAGAGAGGCAGTGCTTTCTATCTGTATTCACTTTGTTATTTAAATAGTGTTTGGTATACATCCTTCTCCTCTCCTGCTGTTCAAACCTCTCTAGGTAAAGTGAACAACAGACAAAAGCCTTCCCTAGGCACCTGAAGTGTTCAATCAGCATAAGATAGCCTCTCTAGAATTGGGAAAACTTGTTTCTAAAATAATATGTATATGTCCTTCCTTGTCCTTCTATAATGTATATTTTATTTTCCAAGTTCAAACATGGCTTATGCATAGATAATTTAAGTTACAACCAAATAGACAAAAAAGAAAGAAAAGCAGAAAAGAGAAAATAGAGTGTCCTTTTTATTACAGAATTAATTACTTTGGCTACATTTAAATCTATTTTTCTCCTATGATTGACAGACACCTGTCAGGGAACTTACAGGAAACACATTTTTTGTTGTTTTTTTTTTTAATTGTGAAAATACAGTATAGAGGATTTACAATTACATGGGCATGATAAGGAGTACATTTCTTATCAAGCATTGTTGCCTCCTCTTTGTTTCCCCTTCCCATCCCTTCCCATACTCCCCCCCACTTCCCTCCTATCCTCCCCCCCTCACCAAATTTGTAAAGTTCATTTTTCGACATAACGACTTGTACATCTCATTGTTGCAGTGGGTCCACCTGTATCCCTATTTAAACAATTTGTTTTTTTTCCCTTCCCCTCCACAAATTATATGGTCAAATACAGTGAAAGCAGGGGTTATACTGTGGGGGAGGGACATACAAAGCAACATAGGAATCATCTTAGAAACAATTGCATGAAAGGAAAAAAAATTGCTTACTTATCTTGGGGTTCATTCCCCTAACATCAACTTATCTGACCTTTTCTGCTTGACTCAGACATATACTAGATATTGCAAATAAGGGAAACCATGGGACCTATGTTTCTTTGGGCCTGGGTTACTTCACTTAATATAATTTTTTCCAAGTCTTTCCATTTCCTAACAAATGGGGCAATGTTATTCTTTCTGATGGAGGCATAGAATTCCATTGTGTATATATACCACATTTTCTTGATCCATTCATCTACTGAAGGGCATCTGGGTTGGTTCCATATCTTAGCTATGGTAAATAATGCTGCAATAAACACAGTTGTGCTGGTAGCTTTAGTGTGGTCTTGTTTGCAATCATTTGTGTAAATGCCCAAAAGTGGGACTTTTTATCGTGGTGTACTTCTAGTTCTACATCCTAGCATTACCAGTAAACCCCAGGTGAGCCACATCATCATTCAGGGATAGAGGAGACCCCCACTATGTCTTTTTCTCACAGGAACTACCTGGTAATTTGTGCAATCCAGAAAGAATACGGAATATCATTATCTGGGTGCAGCATAATAATTATTTATTAGTTATTCCAAAGTACCTAAAATGCTTTTATTATCTTACATCCAAATTAGATTAAGATATACTATTATCTTGTTTTATTAGAATTTATGGAAAGTCTGCCATGTGCCCAGTAATGTGTAATGTATTGGAATTAAGTTATAAAATAAATAGGTGCTCTCTATGGTCTCTGCTCTTAACAGTTCATGTTTAATAAGACAGACGTTCATGCCAGTAGGGTCCAATGATAAAAGAACAATGTGAAATTTTCATCATAGTGAGTAGAGAGACCTTCAGTTTCTAGAAGATATACTTTTAACAGCAACCAAGTTCACTGTAAGACAATCTTCATATCTCTGGGTTCTACATTTGTCTAATTCACAAATTTCAAACCAGATTATGAATTTCAAATCTGATTTAATGCTATTCTCTATTTAGTCACCTGCAACCACAAATCTCTATAAGAATCCAACTGATGATTCTAACTGTTCTCCATGCCTATCTCCACATTGAATTTGTTAGGCATTTAAAGAGGTTGCCAAGTAAGAACAGCACCACGCACGTGGTATTCAGGTAAGCGATAGGTTTATTCAGCAGACCGGCTGTCACCAGGCCAGGTTACCAATGGACAAGGCTGGGAAGAGACAGTCTGGCTCAGGGCCATGTCTTATTTAGGGTAGGGGCGGGAGAAGATGTGGCCAGGTGAAGGCAGGTGGGACCAGGTGCGAGAAAGGTGTGGCCACATCGAACCAGATGTGACCTCCTCCAGGTGAGCCAGTTGCCTAGGTAACTGGGCAGAGACTTGGCTGCCAAGAGGAAGGAGTCTGCTCGCCATCCTGGAACGGACCTTACAGAATTTATACCCAGTGAGGGCTCCACGACACTTCTTTTTTGGAAAGACTGACTGTTTTGAGGGCATATTTACAAAAGCACCAATATAAACTGGGGAAGAATACTGTGTCTATCATTTTTTAAAATTTGTTTATTTATTTATTTTTTATTGTGAAAATACTGTACAGAGGGGTTACAATTACATGGGCAAGATAGTGAGTACATTTCTTATCAAGCATTGTAGCCTCCATTTATTTATATCTTACTAGGTAAAACGTAGTACAATGATCAGTGATAGTAAAAGTAGGGAAGAAAAAAACGAAAAATTTAAATGGTAAGGAAATAAAAGCAAGTGCTATTCAAAATTTAATTAATAAGAGCTTGTATCTTAAAATCTTAATTTTTTTTCCATTACATTTTCTCTTTCTCTTCCCCATGAACACAGATAAAATGAAAAGTAGCTTCCCTCATAGCTGATGAGTTCTGAACTACTTTAAGAAAACATAAATTAAAATACAACATTTTAAAAAAGTGGGGGACACAATTAAGCCCAAGGAAGCC